TACTGACAGAAAACATAGTTCTAGTTTGCTTGGCCCGACATCACACATCACAGGCCTTATTATCTACACTATCAAATTTAAATTTTGCAACAAAAGGAATCATTGAAACAGCTTCAAGAGAGGCATGACCCATCCGTTTATGCCATAGCTCTAGAGATTCATGGGATCGAACTGCAAACGCTGTTGTTTGGTTCTGGCGAAACACATACACTCCGTCTTTGAGATCACCCAACCCAATCACCATCTTCAGCTTGCGGTCCTGCAAAACACAGTTCTCATTAGTAAACAACACATCTTCTTCTTGTTGTTGCACCAATTGAGACACAGAAATCAGATTGCATCTCAGATTGGGTACAAATAATACATCAGATAAAAGAAAATGTGGATTGAGTGCAACAGTTCCTTTCTTTATGGCATGTGTTACAGCTCCATTAGGTAGCCCTACTGCAAGTGATTCAATATTTTTAACATTCTCCAACAGTTCAAGTGAGCCAGTCATGTGACGAGACGCACCACTATCAATGAGCCAATCATAAGAAACAACGTTACCAGATAATTTTTCAGCAGGAGGATGAGGTTTATCCACCAATGAAAGCAAGCGCGTCACCACGTCTGTCACAACTTCTGGAGTTAGAGCAGAAAAGGCAGCAACATGTTCCTGTGACTCCTTAGTTGTTGCAGCATTTGCACTATTCTGTGCAGTGTGAAAGTTGTTAGAGTTTGGATGACTTCGTCCTCCTGCAAAGCGCCCACGTCCTCGCCCCCTGCCACCTCCACGATTGGGATAGCCAAAAGTTTGCCAACATTTAGATGATTCATGGTTAGTCTTTCCACAATGGCGGCAAGGTACACGCTCAGCGAACTTCTCCATCCCTGTAGGTGCTACAGTTTGTGCAGCACAACCTATGACATCAGCTCTTTCATTTTGTGTACGAATTATGGAACGATGTGTTTCCTCCTGTGTGACAATGGCATAAATCTTGTTCAGTGATGGGAGTGGTGTGGTATTCAATATCTGTGTGCGTAGGTGCCCGAATGTGGCTTCATCGAGTCCCATAAGAAACTGGTATACTCTATCGTTTTCCTTCTCTTCCTCTACTTCTTTTGCATATGCGCATGTATCTCCACAAGTACAAGACTTGTACACTTTACTCCCTTCAAGCTCGTCCCATACGGCTCGCATTTTTGTGTAATACGCTCCCACACTGCTACCTTGTTGTTTAATTGCAGACAAACTTGCTTTAAGCCGATATACTCTTGGAGCATTTGCAACTGAGTAACGCTCTTTTAAGTCGTCCCAGAGGTCCTTGACATTATCAAAACACTTGATGAATGGCTGAAGCGTAGGATCAATAGTGTTGTGTATCCAACCATTAATCATTGAGTTACACATCTCCCATGCATTCCACTCTTCAGTGTCATTCTTTTCTGGCGTCTTCACAGACCCTGTAATGAACCCCAATTTGTTTTTGGCCTTGAGTGCGTTTTTCATGAGCTTAGCCCAATTCTCGTAATTGGCTTCACCTTTTAGCATCACTGTTGTCAACAAAATCCCGGGATTATCAGACCCTCCCAGATAGAAAGGAGAGCCATGATCCGAGATTATTTTTGTTTTGCTACTTCCCTCCTTAGCCATTCTCAACTGACCAAGCTTTCGCACTTGACGTAAGGCACTCACTCAGAGTTTCAATTTTGCGGAAGTGTTTAACAGAGATCGTGCTCTGATACCATAATAATTTGGTATCGAACTGACTTTCATTTGAATCAATTGAGTTGCCTTTATAGGCATTACAATAGCTGTTATACATTTGAATACAAACTTATCTACAACTATACTATCTTATCTTTTACTTAACAAACTCATCAGAGAAAACAAACTAAACAAATAAAATATTCTGCAACAGCTAACAACTACTAAATATCTAACGGCTAGATGACTGTTACAAACAGCCTACTAATTGCAATAGTTAAGCTAACGACTTGATGACTTTGATGACGGTTACAATCCTTGCTAACAGCTTGAGCCTACTAGTCCAATATCCTTGCTAACATTAATAATTAAAAAAAAATTGTATGTGTTTATTTATGAACCTAGTCAGAAACTTGAAATTCTCACTTGGAACTTGAACACGTGATGATCCTGATAAAGACTAAGACTCAAGGTAAATCTGCTTGTTTTATTAAGTTTGGTTGTTGAGAAATAAAAGAAGAAGAAAAATAGACGGCATTTCACTTCTTTTTAGCGAGATCTTTTTAATTAATATACATGTTGTCCGGTTTATGAAAAGATTAGAAAAAAAGAATAGTAAAAGAATAGACAATTCATCACGACTTTCATACACCAAATGATGACTGATTAGGATTGATAAGCGACTAAAAACAACTAGCTTGGCACCATATATAGCATATAGATCCAGTGGAAGACCATGACTCAAGGCAAATCTGTTTATTATATTAAGTTTGGTTGTTGAAATGAAGACTATGGCTACAGGCAAATCTGTTTATTATATTAATTTTGGTTAATTGTTGAACTGTTTATAAATATGTAATAGAATTACATTTTTATGATAGTTTAAAAATGTATATTTTTATAATAAAGTATGTATCTGTTATGGACCCGTATAAGGGGCCCATTAAGTGACAGGCCTAATAAGGGGCTATCTAAGATGTAAATCTAATCTAATCACTGATAGATATCCATCAAGAATACTAATGCTAATACGTCAGCATAACAAGTAGGCCTGGGCCCTTATCAAAGGCATCAAAGACCCATCCACACTACCCACAGGTAACCTCTACAAATATAAGATAAACTCTAAAGGTACGTTACGCTCTTTCTCTTACTATTATGTTGTCACTGTGCGCACACACACCCAATTGGCTAACCCCGTTAACAGTATTATGTGCACAGTGATCTGCTTGACTCAAGGATATCTCTTCCATAAACACCTTGGAGATGGCACTAGATCCAAGAGTAACATACCAGCCTATTGGGCTGGACATCTCTGTAACAAGGACAGAACATTGGCGCCGTCTGTGAAAAACTCCTGAACTTGGAGTTTGATATTCCTACGAATCTGACTAAGGATGGTAGTCCACGTAAGGATATAGTGTTATTATTTGTATCATAGCATTTTGACGGACATATCCTTCAATTCGTATTTAAAAAATTAATTACGAAATAAGAAGAAAAAAATGTTTTTAAACTATTATGGTTATATATACTTTTATTTACTATATTTCTATTATTTGAGTTTGATTAATTAATGATAATATTTGGAAAAAAAAATGTGACCAAATAAAATAAAAGAATCTCTTTTAAAATTAATTTTTTTAATAGTTTAAATAATTAGTTTAATATTAAAAATAGTAAGAAAAAAATATGACCAAATATAAAAATTTTCCCATTATCTCAAAATAGTAAAGTAAATCAGTCCGGTTTCAATTTTTGCCAAAAATGGATCACCGGTCTGGTCTGTCGATCCGTTAACCCGCTCAAACTCCGATTCTCGGTTCAATCCGACGGATTCAAGCAGAGTTTATTAACAGCGTATAAAAGTGCATGGATTTGCTTTTTCTTTTCCCTGTACTCCTGCAATGAGCTCACATGAATCCCGTTTTTATGTATACACAAGTGATAACGATAATGATGATAGTTTGCTTGGTATAAAAAAGCTGAGAAGATAAAAGTAACAATATGTATTTAATCTTCTTTAGTATTATTTTCAATAATATTTTAAAATAAATTTAAAATCTTAATCCTACACTTATTCCAAATAAAATTGGTTTTTTTTGACCCTTATAACCTTTTATTAATAATTAATTATCAAATTGACCTTTATCGTAAACTATTTCAAAAATTTAACTTCCTAAAGAAACATAACACCAATTTGTCTCTTTTGACCGTTGATCACCAAGTCTACTCGGGTACTCCCTCCCTACCCGGGTATTTTTTGAAAATTTATGCCTACCTGGTTATGGAGGGGTGTACCCGGTATATTTCTTGATATCTCGAAAATTGTTTGAATTATTTACCCGGGCAGGTAGGGGTGTGTACCCGGATAAATCTCGACGGTAGGCCATTGTTGAGGAAGAAGAAGCACAAACAACACAAATAACAGAAATGAGGGAAATTGTTGAAGAGGAAGAAGCACCAATAGCACAAGTAACAAATTTATATCTGTTATGCTACTTCTGCACAACATAGACCCCTCAGCAATTGCTATTTGAGTTTTGTGCAAGCAAAGGTTTTTTTTTCTTTCCCCATTGGGTTGCTTCTTATAAAAGATCTTATCCTACCCTACCCTCTTCCACCCATCTTTAGAAAGTTTCTTTGTTTCTTTCTTTTCTCTCGGAATTTTTCATATTGATTCACCAGCTTTATCACCTATCACCTTGACTTTTTTATTTTAATATTTCAAAGTGCACAAAGACAGAATCAACCAGAAAAAAGCATTTAACAATGGATTCGAATTCGCGTTATCATGTCCAACAACACCAACCAAATTCTGGGCTACTTCGCTTTCGTTCTGCACCTAGTCCAGTTCTTGCAAATTTCAAACAAGGTGAAGGTGCTTCTGATAAGGTTAACTCCTGGGAGGACTCTGAACCAGAGAGGTTGGTTTTGAGGTTCTTGAATTCCGGTGACAGCAGCAACGATACAGCTTCAGCTTCAATACTAAATCTCAACGGTAGGCATCCCTTCAAAGGCTTGGGTCGAGATTTACTTTTTCAGATCTCAAGAACTATATCCGGGTACACCCCTCCTTACCCAGATAAACATAAATTTTCAAAATATACCCGAGTAGAGAGGGGTGTACCCGGATAAGCTTGGTGGTCAACGGTCAAATATATGCATTGGTGTTATGGTTTTTTTGGAGGTTAAATTTTTGAAATAATTTAAAAATAAAATCAATTTGATAATTTATTATTAATAAAGGATTACAGGGATCAAAAAGCCAAATAAAATTACTTCTCATGAAACATTTTGAAAGGGGTTTAACTTTAAACTCACCCCAAACAAAATTATCTTCAGTTAAAAATATCTGTGTTTAAAAAAAAAAATGATAACTTTCTAAGTAAAAAAATTTAAACCCACATATTTTCCATATACCATTGACAGTGAAGAAATAAGTAGATGGAAACCTTTATTCCATCACTTTACGAAACCAATCCACGCATCTACTGTTATTTTCCAAGCACTGATACAACAAACTTAGCCAGTTTTTTTTCTTGTTTGGTAAAAGAACATCACCTAATTACGAAGAGACGCACACGCATATTCCATATACCATGATGATGATGACGGACGACGAGCCGACGACGACGACGACCTTTTTAACGTTTTACAAGAGACGTTAAGCCTGCCTTGTTTTGTGCTTTTCCTTCTTCACCGTCAATGATGACTTTAAAGTGAAGAAGGGTTTCTCTTCTCTTCTCAATTTCCTCTGAGCATATCTCTGTAACGGAGAAGAGAATCAACCCTCTGTAACCTCAGTTGCTTCTTAAACCTGTTTATAAAATCATCAGCTTTCGCGTCTACCTCTTCGTCTTCTCTTAACGACGTCGTCTCACCTCTCGCCGTCGCCGGCCTCCGCCGCTCCACCGCTTCTTCATCCTCCTCCCACTCACACTTCATTGACCCCGCCCTCTCGCTCGCCGATTTCCTCATCTCCGCATTACCCGAATCACGACCCGGTTTTGGATCCGGACCATCACTTTCGGGTTCTTGCTCTCGACGCGAGAAGCTCAAGGACCGAAGCCGCTGCAAGAGGGAGGGAGTTCGAACCAGTTGCGGGTTGTCCGGGTTCGGGCACGGGTTTTCGGATTCGGGTTGGTGGGTTGGGGCATACTCTGTTTCTGCGTGTGTTGGTTCGTATTTGTTGAAGGAGAAATTGAAGGACCTGACTCGTTCTAACAGGGAGGGTGAGCGAACGAGTTGGGGTTCGTGGATTTCCCTTTTGGGGGCACCAAAGCGAGAAGTGATTGCTATGGTTCCGATGACGAGGTTTACGATAATGAAAAGGGAAGAGGGTGTGAACCAGCTAGCTATGATAGCAGCCGGATCAGCCATTGTGTTGCTCTCTCTCTCTCTCTCTCTCTCTAAGGTTGTGGAGTTGTGGTGTGCATATCGTACAGACTGATATATAGATACGAAGCACTGTAGCGGAACTACTGTTGAGTGTTGACGTTTAATTCTTCTTGCGGTTTGTCGTTTTCTTTCCTTTTGTTTGTACTTTAAGGGCACCGGACTCCACCAGTTTATTCTTTACTCTTAAAATATCTTCGCGTCGTTTTATATTTATATAATCTTTATCGTTTAATTATACTTATTTTGTTTCGTTTTTATGTATTTTTATACTGATTTTGTCATCCATAATAAGGGTTATATGTTTATCCTTTTAAAAAAAAAAAATCTTTCCCCCACACATAATGTCTTCCGCAATTTTTATTTTAATTTTAAATATGAGTAGATCTCACACTTCAACAAAAGGTTTTGTTTTTATCTACCAAAAAAAAAAAAAGGTTTTGTTTTTCCTGTAAAAGGATAAACATATAACCCCCGTAATAATAGTTGGAAACCTGACTTATTGATGTGTAATATGTGTTAGGTTTGATTAAGAAAAAATGTTTTGTCCAATTCGCATTTGCAAGTTAGATTCGCTATTTGTTGCTATTTGGGTGAAGCCCTACTTGAGCCTTTTGTTTTTTTTTTTTAATAATTAGAACGATAACACTTGAATGAAAATATAATATTAAAATGACGTCCTTTTTGTCATAAAAGAGAAAGCAATATATTGGGTTAATTTTGTACAGGTTGTCAGAATTTAACATGCAACGACTGGTTTATTGTAGGTTTGTGTGATTTCAATTTAACTCGCATATCAGAAAATTAGCGGAATGCTGTTCGCTATGTACAAATGTATATGTTAATTAAAATCTCGATTTAATTTTTTGTTTTTATAAAAAAAATTAATCAAAATAATTTTATCAAAATTCAAAATGCTTTTATATTTTTACAATTTTTTATATTAAAATTTTGTGTTTTATAATTTTTATCCTCTTTTTGATTTTAAATAATATACCAATTTTAACTACCATGACAATGTATGGTCCTCCCAAGAGAGAGTAGATTTTAATTAAATATGGAAAGGTCTGGTACCATCCTCTTAAAGGAAATAGACAAAATAACAGGATAATCTATTAATTGGGAAAATAATAATTTAAATTGTGTTTGTCTTTAAAGTTAATAAGTAAAAATATATTATTTTAAATTTTAGTAAGTTAAAACTATTATTTATACTTTAAATTCAATAAAAAATATACCTTTATGTATTCATTTTAAAAAACAAGTCAATTTAAAAGAGTCTTACCCCTTAATTATTGCTAGTTGCTAGTTGGTTCATTATCTTCCATAAGAGTCTGCTGACGCAGAAAAGCATTTCGTTATGTTTTTTAGCAACAAATTAACGTATGGGAATATACCACTTTTCTCCTTTTATCCTTTTAGTTTAGGCAATGCTTTAAATTTTAAAAACATAATTCCCCGTCTCCACATGTCTGTTTGGTTCGCATTTGGAGTGGGTACACGTAAGTATGAGACGCAATCACCGGGGTAATGCATGGGTCATGCTAGTCCCATGTGTCACATGTTATTGTTTTTATTAGAAACTAGGGTAATGTATTTTCGATGTGTTGAATGAAGAAAAAAAAATTAATTTATTTGTTTCGTACAAGTTAATGTAAATTATAAAAATATATCGCTGTATTTTATTTTGTCCTTTAGTCATTCAAAAATTATAAAATTTAACTCTACTTCTTTCAATATTAAGCCAGGATGCAAGACGAGATAATGGAGAACCTGGATCTGAACAAAAATGGCTGAGATGATAAAATAAAACTCAAGTGAGGGAAGAGGAATAAATCGAGGTTAAAGGTGATTGCTCTCATGGCGGAGGAGAGTGTGAGACCTGGTTTGGTGATGAGTTTTGCACAGATTAATTTTGTAAATTTAGTCCACATTCCCAGTAATATTTTACAATCAATTAAATATAGCATTAGGAAAATTAACATAACATTTCGAGTAATATTTTAGCTTATCAAATGATTTTGGTAACATTATCGGAAAACTCACTTTTCCACTATATTTTAGGATAAAATTTTGTTTTCTTTACCAAACACTCCCATGAGAAACTAGAAGTTTCTAGTGAAATTGCATGCTCATCCGATGTAGTTTGTGAACAAAACTATGGGCGTTTTGTGGAGGAATTTTTTTTTTATTAGAGAATTATGATTTTCGAGAATATAATGAAAAAATAAGTTTTTTTTTGGAATGTTCCCAAAAAATTGTTTGGTAGGTCAAAATATTTTTGAAAATGGATAAATTTTTCTGATATTATGTTTGATTATTTTTATTTAAAAATTTAATCCATATTTTCTTATCATCTAGATTCATAAAATACCACATCGGGATGATATTTTTCGGTGATATTTTGGTTTAGAAAATACATATAAAAAGAAATCCTGAGAAAATAACTTTCTTGGTGAAAATTTCTCCAATATGCTATCAAACATGAGATTCTAAGAAATCTTCCCCACATTCTCGAGGCATTTAAAAATATTCCTCTTATCAAACATCCAATATAGAACTCTAGAAACGGTCGGATCATCTACGTTTTTTCAAAATTATAATCTCAATCTTTAAAATTATTTTATTTAATGAAAAAAAATCTAAATATAATTAACACATTATCTATCATGAAATTAAAAGCTGCATAATACATAGTTTCATCGATACAATAGCACTATATAATATTTAGATATAATAAAGTTTGAATGATCCACCGACCATAAGAAAAAGTATGAGTAATTTAACTTTTTTAAAAGAATAATATAATATTCCAAACATTTTAAATATATTTTGATGATGTCACACATACTTATCCTTAACTATAAAAATTTATATTAAAGAGAACGTATATTTGTTAAAATGAACAAAGTTGCTGCTGATTACTTTTATAAAAATGCAAGGTTGAAATAGAACCAAGCCACTATAGGTATTAGTATGGGCGGAAAATAGAAAAAGAGTTCGACGCAACCAATGTATTCCACCCCAAAGGATGCTCAAAAAATCAGGTAATTAATACGCTATTATAATTACATTCACTATACTAAAATTATATTTCAATTATATAATGTAAATGCAAAGGTCTATCAATCTGAAAAGGGGATAAGCGAGGAATAAAGTGAATGTCATATTAATTGTATGAAAGGTGAATAATGTATTAAGTCCTGTTTATCGTTTATGTTAAAAAAATTCATAATATTTTTTTAAAATATAATGCGGGCGATAAGTAATTGAATTTCCAACCAAGTGGTTAGAGAGACTCTAAGGTGGTGTTTGGTTCATGGTTTTTGGAAATTTTCCTATGCAAATGAAGCAAGCATTTCAGTTTGCACTTGTTTGGTTCAAGGGATTCACTCAAAATTCTCATCCATCCAATTTGCATTGCTTTTTCAGTTTTTTCAATTTGCATAGCTTTCTGCACTATTTGGAAAGACAAAAGATAGATGGTTTTATTTGGAAAGCAGGCTAAGCCACTTTCTTCCAGACCATTATACCCTTGCGTGGGTTGAAGGTTGAACTATGCATGACACACGTTTATTCTTTAAAAACATGGTTAACAGTGGAAAAGCTTTACAAAAAGAAATCTCCATTGAAGTAACGACCAAATTATGAGCTCTAAGGTGGCTTACATGAGACCTCATGAATATATGATATATATATATTCACATGAATTGGTACCCTGGTTTAAAGGGAAATAATATGCATGAGGGATTGTGTTTGAATCCTCCATTATTGTTCGAATCTCTTAACATGTTTATTATCTGGGTCACAAGGGTCTCTGCCCTTCCCTCGCTTAAAGAACAAACTATAACATTCTGAAACACAACATGCAATAGGAAAGCATAACAAACACAACCAGGCACCATTCATTGATCATATATATTATACAATAAGCTCGAAACATTTAAACTTTGTGAGTAATGGATGACCCGTGTTGTTGTTCTCCGTTGGTACTTACAAGAGCACGATACTTAGCAATAAAGAATCCCAAGGTATGGCCAGCCACAGCAGCTATGAAGATTCCAAGGTTGAAGGACATGACAGCAAGCATCACCAAGTAAAGGAAACTAATGCGAAAGACATAGAAGATAGCCTGAATCAACCCTCCAATTATGGGACTTGTCCCTCTTTTGATGATGGGTTGGTTTGACATAACCTCAGCAATCAAGGCAAGGAAAAACACAAACAAGATAGCTAATATGTACATGCCAACACTGTGGTTAGGCCACCCAGGGGAAAACAATGGGGCTGTCAACGACGGCTACTCTTTAAAACAATTGGGTTGATTTAAAGGTAAAAAACACATAGATTAAAAAAATAAAAAATAACAATAAAACGAGGTTATTTTCGTAAAAACAACTTTTTTTCCCATCTATATTTTACCTACCCCCAAACATAGACTTTATAAAAGTTACTTAATTTTCCCATCAAAATTTTATCTAACCAAACAACTTTTTTTACATTTTCCTATCAAACTCACATTCCAACTATTTTCCTAGTAATCACATTTCCCTATTATTCATAAAATTTTCTCCTCAACCAAACGCCCCTTAAAAATAACCCAAAGACTTAAGTTTATTAAGAGAATGTCACATTAATAATTTTATTATATTTTTCTAGCATAAAACAAAGAATTATGATTAAGAGTGTGGTTAGATTAGACTTTATAGATTTAATTTTTTATATTTGACTATTTTTCTTTCAAAAATAGTTTTGAAAACATTAATGATATTTGAATATTATTCATAAAATTTTCTTCTTTAATATACAGTTACTTCAAAATGTGTGAATTTTATGTTACTTTCTCTAAATTATCTTTTTATTTAATTTACATTTTTTTTGATACATGCCTTAACAAATGACATAAATAATTTTATAAAAAATTATTTTTAATAATTAGTGCTTTTATTAAATTAAAAATACTGGCATAATTATTAAACCCGAAGCAGTGATCGACCTGGTAGGGGTACCGGATCACTGGTTC